TCCTGCTGAGGAAGTCCCTGAAGTATTGAGCTGAGATGCGTTGATGGACTGATCCCAGAGACTGGGAATTTTAGGGGTCATGCCGGGCTATAATTGCAGAAACAGATGGACATGATAATACAGAAGACAAACACAATTGCTAAGAAATGTTTCCCTCTGTTTCATGGGAGGAACCTTGCAAGAGCCTGTGTTGTTGTCACATACATATGTTTCAGGAAAGTAAGTGCTGTCTTTTTTGTTTGAGGATATGAACTATTCAGCTATTAGAATTTTATTTTTTGAGGAATACAAAGATAAGGTGCTTGTTTCTCTCCCCAGGACTGCAGGTGCAAACCACAAGCAGCTGTGGACTGGTTTGCTTGCCCTGGTCACTCTCATCTTGTACTCCATTGCTGTGGGAGCCCTGGTCCTCATGGCTCTTTTCTATACACGCTCAGAGGGCTGCACGTACAACAAGGTCCTGATCGGTGTTAACGGCGGCCTGTGCCTCTTTGTGTCGCTGGTGGCCATATCACCCTGCGTCCAGAATCGTGAGTCTGCTGACCTCCTCTTTTCCTGAATTTCTGGTGCTGCCACAGTTGTGTGCCTGGAGACATAAGCCGTCTTCTAGGCAGAAAATCTCATGATAACCTGGAGCTGGTACTTGCCCCTGTCTGTTTAGCTACACTATGAATTGCTGTTAGCTGGTTGTCAGCTCAGCTGCTACAGAGGTGCAAGACGTTTGGGTGTGCCATCAGGTAGAAGGTTCACATGCTGGTAATGTGTTGTGAACCTTAGACAACTCTTGCGGTGGTAGCAGTTGAGGTAATAGCTGTCAAGTTCATTCACCGCTGTTTCACCGTTTACTTCTGAGTGCCTGGGATTTACCATCTGTGAAGTTTGGGCTGGGGGAGAGTTGACAGCAGTATTTCATGCTTGGTATATTTTATATGCATGTTAGTATCTTGCATACATTAGACCTGGAAATAGTAATTTGAGTGACTCCAAAAAAAATTTTATGGGCAAATAGAACTGTCGTGGCGGCTTGTCAATAGCTTTTAGAAAGCTGATATTTTTGACGAGGCCAGAGAGGGTAGGTCTTTACTTAATGTGGGAATTTTTAATGCCTTTGTGAAACAGTTATCAGAGCTAAAGGACAGGCTCTTTTTTCTTTACATGATAGTGGAAATGTATCTAAACTGCCTCAAAGACTCATGAGCTGCTTTAAGTAAAACCAAAGATACTCTTCTCTTTTGAATGATAGTCTGCTATTCTTTAAAGGATGTAAATTTCTTTGTCAGTTTGTTAAGATGCCTGGAAAAATAACTTATTTTCCCCTTTCTTGTTAAGGCCAGCCCCATTCTGGTTTGCTGCAGTCAGGAGTTATCAGCTGCTACGTCATGTACCTCACTTTCTCAGCACTATCCAGCAAGCCACCAGAAACTAGTAAGTTATCTAATGCTTTATGTAAATTCTTTTACACATGCCATGTATTAAAAGCAAGAATTTAGCAAACCTGAATTAACAAATTCAGGGATATAGGAGTGCTGTGTTTGGTCTGGCTTTGCCTATGCAGAAGTTGGAAATACTAAAAATAGAACTGTGTAGCAAAGAGACCGTGCAATTGGCACTTTCCCTGTACCTTAAATGCTTTGGTCTTGGGGAGCTTAACTTACCTGGGTGAGTTGCACCTGTTGCACCACAGCAATTCTAACCTGTTTCCTGTGGACAAATTTCCCAGTCTTGTAGCCTCTTCCTCATGTCATGAGTGCATGTTCTTGTAGAGTAGGACATGACTAAATACATGTATTTGTCACCTGATGTGAAGGGAGTTGGAACACATGGCTCTTGGATTCCTCTGGAAGAAGCTAGGTCCACCACCATTTAGTAGGTGCTGGCCATCAGAGCGTGTACTAAAATCACTGATTTTCTCCCAGAATTGGTATGCTAGATAGCTTTAGCCAGCCTTAGATTGCCTAATGGAGCAAAAAGCTGAGTATCACTCATCTTTCATTTCTGAGAGTGTGGTGGTTTGGCCCTGACTGGAGGCGGAATGCCCACCCAAGCTGCTCTATCACTCCCCCTTCTTAGATGGACAGGGGAAAGGGAGAATGTAACAAAGGGCTCATGCGTCGAGACAAGGAGAGAAAGATCACTCCCAGTTACCATCCTGGGCAAAAAAGATTCACCTGGGGGAAATCAGTTAAATTTATTAACAGTCAAATTAGAGAAGACCAGTGAGAAATGAAACCAAATCTTAAAAATAACACTTTTCCCTGACCCTTCCCTTCTTCTTGGGTTTAACTTTACTCCCTATTTATTCACCTTCTTCCCCTGAGCAGCACAGGGGGAGGGGGAATAGAGGTTGTGGTCAGTTAATCAGATGTTATTTCTACCGCTCCTTCTTCGTTTGATGGATGACTCCTCACTCTTCCCCGCTTCATCTTGGTGCCCCCATCAGGGGAGACTGTTCTTCACAAACTTTCTTCAGTGTGAGTCTTCACGAGAGACGGTTCTTGATGAACTGCCCTAATGTGAGTCCTCTCCATGGGGTGCAGTCCTTCAGGAGCAGTCCACTCCAGTGTGAGTCCCCTGCAGGGAGACAAGTCCTGCCAGCAAATCTGATCTAATCTGTACTCCTCTGTCCATGGACTACAGGTCCTGTCCGGGGCCTGCTCCAGCACGGACTGCCCATGGGGTTGCAGCCTCCTTCAGGCATACACCCGCTCTAGTGTGGGGTCCTCTATGGGCCACGGGTGGACATCTACACCCCGTCACCTCCATGGCCTGCAAGGGAACAGCCTAGCTCACTATAGTCTTTGCCGCGACCCAGGGGATTCGCTGTTCTGGTGCCTGGAACACATCCTTCTCCTCCTCGTCACTACAGACGAGCCAGGGGGAGGTATCCCAGGGTTAGGCATCAAAACAATGACACTGCTCAAGTGCATCCACTCCAATGTGGATGGCACAAGCAGTGGTAACAGATGCTTCTCAATTAAGTCTCTTAAGTGTCTGTATACCAATGCAAGAAGCACGGGGAATAAGCAGGGGGAATTAGAAAACTGTGTGTGGTTGAAGAGCTACGATCTCATTGCGATTACAGAGATATGGTGGGACAACTCACGTAACTGGAATGTGGGCCTTGATGGCTCTGTCCTTTTTAGGAGAGACAGGCCAACAAGGCGAGGTGCTGGAGTTGCTCTTTACATGAGAGAGCAACTGGAACGTATTGAGATCTATCCAGGGGCGGATGAGGAGCAAGTCGAGAGTTTGTGGGTGTCTATTACAGACCACCTGGTCAGGAGGATAAAGTTGACGAGGCCTTTTACAGGCAGCTGACAGCAGCCTCTCAATCACAGGCCCTGGTTCTCATGGGGGATTTCAACTACCCAGATATTTGCTGGAAGGCCTACATATCTGGCTGTTTGCAGTCCAGGAGGTTCCCCATGATAAATTCTTGATGCAAATGGTGAATGAGCCAAGCAGGAGAGTAGCGCTGCTGGACCTTGTGCTCACCAACAAAGAAGATCTGGTTGAAGCAGTGAAAGTGGAGGGCAATCTTGGCTGCAGCGACCATGAGATGGTAGAATTCAGGATCTTGTGCGGTAGGACTGCAACTCTGCAACCAAGCAGGATCACAACTCTGGACTTCAGCAGGGCCAACTTTGGCCTTTTCAAGCAGTTACTAGGGGAAACCCCATGAGACAGCGTACTAGAAGTTAAAGGGGCCCAGGATAGTTGGTCAGTGTTCAGGGACTTCTTCTATGCTCAAGATCAGTGCATCCCAACAGGTAGGAAAACAAGAAAGAGACCCAGGAGGCCTGTGGGGTTAACTAGGCATCTGCTGGGCAGACTCAGGTGGAAGAAGAGAGTATATAAAACATGGAAGGAGGGGCTGGCCAATTGGATGGAGTGTAGGACTGCTGTCAGAGAATATAGGGAGGCAATTAGAAGAGCTAAGGCCTCATTGGAGTTAAATCTTGTGAGGGAGGGAGGTCAAGGATAGCAGAAAGGGCTTCTTCAAATACATTGCCAACAAAACTAACACTAGGGACAATGTCGACCTTCTAGTGAATGAGGTGGGTGCCCTAGAGACAGAGGAGAGAAAGAAGGCAGAGTTGCTGAATGCCTTCTTTGCCTCTGCCTACACTGTTGGAGACTGTCCTCAGGAGCCTCAGTCCCCTGAGGCCCCAGAGGAAGCCAATATAAAGGAGGAGTTTGCCCTGGTTGAGGAGGGTTGG